GTGAGGCGGGGAACGTTGGAGTCTGCAGCAAGCAAGCCTCGTGCTCGCTTCAGTGCCTGGCTGCCGGCCGCCATCTTGGCTGACAGTTAATTTGCATATACTCACTGATTAACCAATGAAAAGGGTAGCGGTCGTATGCTAATTACCATGTTTCTCTTTTATTAGTGTAGATACCTCCATCTGGGTTTTTGTTCTGTGTGGTTTTAGGTGACCTTAAGTCTCTCTAAACTTGTCTTGTCTGTCAGCAATACTGTAAGGTTCAGATGAGCTGATGTATCAGAAAAGTGCCTTGAAGATGTTAAAGAGAAAACCACAGGAACAAAGTGGCATCACTGTCACTAAAGGCCCATGACACCCACTTAGCTTTAATACCTGACCTAATTGCAGTTTCAGCCTCTCCCAGAAACATAATCTCAATCAACCAGTCTGGAACTTTCTAGTCAAGTACGCTTAAGGTAATCTGTCCAATACCTGCCTGTCCCTCCAAGAAGAGGCAACCTGCAGGATTAAAAACCCTTCCAACTCACTCAGGTTTTCTTTCCTCAAAAACAAGATATCCTGGTTTAAAAAATCATCCTTTCTTTTCTTTTGTTAATAGCTCCTTTGTCCCACCCTCCTTGTTATAGAAACTTTCATTTTGTACAACCCCACAGAGCACCCTTCTTATTGGTAGATGGGATGCTGCCCAATTCATAAATAGCTTAATAAAGCAAAGTAGATCTCTAAATTTACTCAGTTGAATTTTGTAAAAAACAGAAACCAAGTAGTATATTACCAACATACTTTGTATTAATGATTGTTCTTGATATGTGCCTGCTTTATATGTGTCATCTCATCTCCCAATGACCTTAAAAGATAGCTGCTATTATTTCATTTTACAGTTGAAGAAACTGAGGCATGGAGTGATTATTAACCTGCCCAAATGTAACCTTGTAATTAGCTAGTTTATTATATTAATAATAGGAAGAGAGCAAAGGGGAGACCAGACTTTATAAGCATGTTCATCTGGGCAGCTCCAACTTTAAGCTCCCCAGGGAACCATGGATCCATTCCGGGCACATCACTGGGGAAAGGGATCAAACAAAGGGGGGGATGGGCGTGTGTGCAGTGCAGCCCACGTGACCTTAGGGAAGGTCCTTGCCTGTCAGTCTAGCCTGGGGAACAGTGATTTGACGAGGAGGGTGGAGCCACTGCAAGTGCCTGGAATCTTGGAAGTTTAAAGTCCCCAAAGAGTTCTTTCTCGCTTCCTTCTTGACCCCTGTTTCTCTCTTGCTCCATGACCCACACTTGGTCTCCTAAGCCGAATTAGGTGATGTTCACTGGTACTTGTACTTATGTATCTTTTGTATCTTTTTTAGAGCAGCGGTTCTCAACCTGTGGGTCGCGACCCCTTTGGGGGTCAAACGACCCTTTCACAGGGGTCGCCTAAGACCATCGGAAAACACATATATAATTAAATATTGTTTTTGTGATTAATCACTATGCTTTAATTATGTTCAATTAGTAACAATGAAATTGGGGGTCACCACAACATGAGGAACTGTATTAAAGGGTTGTGGCATTAGGAAGGTTGAGAACCACTGTTTTAGAGGATACTATTCGATCCACTATACTTTCTAAACAGCAAATTTCTCTGGATTTCCATTTTATATCTGCAGGTGAAATCCTGGACCACTTTAGAGCTTTGTGGTGTGAGTGTTTGTGATATTCTCCAGGATGTGGGAAAGCATTGTAAGGCCATAGCATATTGCCAGGAGGGTGGCCCAGGCTCCCAGTTCTTCCCTTGACTTCCACCTTAAACTTCCCTGATCCATTATTCACAAGCCGCCCAGTTATTTTTTAAAAATAGAAATCTAATCATAATTCTCTTACTCTTTAGGGTTTACCATGGAGCTTCAAATACAATCCTAACTCTTTATACAGTTTTTTCAAAGGTTGTGGATGATGTCTTCACCCTCCTCATTACACTGAGCCTTCATACACATTGTTCTCTTTACTTAGAAGAGAACATTCTTTGACCCCTCTCTGCTTACGCTCCTACTTTAAGAACTTAGCACAGAAGCATTTTCCTCTGTGGGCCCTTCTGAGACCACCAGCTCCTGAGTGTCTACACAGCATCTATCCCATACTCTCAGTCATGGCATTGCCACCAGGCTTGTTAATTATCCCTGTGCTGGCCAGTGTTCACCTCTGGATTGTATCTACAAGGAGCGGGAGGGGGTACCACATCTGTCTTGTTCACAGTTGTAGCCTCAGCTTCAGCATTGTGTGCAGTTCAGGTTTATCGAATAAAATAAATAAATGTAAAAACCAGGGTTCTGATTGAAGTCCCACTTATTTCTAACTCCTTTTCTGTTTAAGAAAGCGTTGGGTAAAGCTGGTTTAGCCCATAGCTTCTACTTTCTTTCTTGGACTGGTTCAGAACTGCCGCAGATCTTTGGAAATGACTTGCATAAATATTTGGGAACCCACTAGTAACAGATGTTCTGGTCTCCGCTCATCAGCTCTGTAGTTATGATGGACCTGGAACTGGTTTGGCTAGTTTAGGGATGTCCTTGTGAAAATTGTTCTCCTTAGTGTGCAGTCAAAATAGTATTCTCCCTCAAAAATTAGACGCTACCTAGAAAGTGACAAAATTTGGGTTGATTGTAAGAAAAACATTGAAATAAAGTATTTTATGTATTACAGTAGTTTGTGAAAATCTTCTCAAACTTTGGCTAATTTCTTCCTGGTGAATTAATCTTCATACATTAAATTCTAGGGAAATACGTTTTTGTTTTTCTATATCACATGACTTTGGAAAAGCTTGATTTTGTGCTTCCTTTTAGACAGATATTTATTTTTTTAACTTAGATAATTTGTCTGTTTTACAGATGTTTTCCATGTTTTTATATTGATTAGCTATTCTTCTTTTATAGTTATGCCCCTTGGTGTCCATCCTGCCAGCAGACTGATTCGGAATGGGAGACATTTGCAAAGAATGGTGAACTCCTTCATATCAGTGTGGGGAAGGTAGATGTCATTCAAGAACCAGGTACTGTAAATGTTGAACATTAAAGGCAAATGTTTGTTACTTTTTAGTTTGAATTTTTTTCAAATATATAGAAAAGTTGTGATACTCATGAACTGACCATCTAGAATCAACAGATAACATTTTGGCATATCTGGGTCTGTCTATGTATGTGTGTGTTTACACATATATGTTAATATTTTTTAAATTATTTTCTTTTGCTGAGTCATTTGAAAATAAGTTGCAGACATCATGATTTTACCTTCAATACTTTGGCATATTAAAATTTCCCTAATTATTTCCCACATGTCTTTTAATAGTTTTTGGGACCAGGATCTAATCAAGGTTCACCATTTGCATTTGGTTGTTAAGTGTTTTCAATCGCCCTTAGTTAGAATAGTCCTCTGATATTCTGAAGAGAATAGGCCAGAGGTGTGCCTAGGTGTTTTCTTATATTTTCTGTAAACTTGAAGTTCAGCCTAGACTCTAGAGCAGGGGTCCTCAAACTTTTTAAACAGGGGGCCAGTTCACTGTCCCTCAGACGGTTGGAGGGCCGGACTATAGTTTAAAAAAAAAACTATGAACAAATTCCTATGCACACTGCACATATCTTATTTTGAAGTAAAAAACCAAAACGGGAACAAATACAATATTTGTATTTGCATGTGGCCCGCGGGCCGTAGTTTGAGGACTCCTGCTCTAGAGGCATGATTCAGGTTGGACATGTATGGCAAGAATATTTCATAGGTGATACTGTGCTTCATAATTTATTAGAGGCCAGGTGCACAGATCCATGCATATAGAAAGGGAATGAATTAGAAGGTGGCCTGTGAGGCGGGACTGGGCGAGATGGGCTGGACACACCCTGGAGCCAACCTCCCGCGGTTCCTCCCCAGCCAGCCGCACCTGGGGTGGCGCCAGGGCTCGAAGGGCATCTTGAAGGGTCCCTCCGGCAGGTGGGGTCCCTCGGCCTGGGCTGTGGGGATTGGGCTCCCTCCTCTCTGGTTCCAGGGCACATCACCCAGGAACCGCCACTGCCAAGTCACCACAGCTCAGCAGCTCCTGCATTGAGCATCTGCCCCCTGGTGGTCAGTGCATGTCATACCTACCGGCCGGTTGGATGGTTGGATGGTTGCTTAGCCTTTTATATATATAGACTAGAGGCCCAGTGCACGAAATCCATGCACAGAGGGAGGGGTAGGAGTCCCTCAGTCTGGCCTGCACCCTCTTCAATCCAGGACTCCTCGCAATCCGGGACCGCTGGCTTCTAACAGCTAACCTGCCTGCCTGCCTGATCATCCCTAACCACTCTGCCTGCCTGCCTGGTCGCCCCTAACTGCCCTCCCCTGCCAGCCTGATCCCCCCTACCCACCTCTGTCTTGGCCCCCACCACTGTGGCTTTGTCTGGAAGGATGTCTGGAAGATGTCTGGTCTAATTAGCATATTACCCTTTTATTAGTATAGATGCCATCAGAAGACATGTACTGTCACTGTTAGTGATGTTCAGTTTGAGCACTTGGTTAAAGTAGGGACACTAAACATCTCAATTATAAAGAAAAGATCCCACTTTGTGATTGGCAGGTAATCTGTGGGGTGATACTTTGGGGTTTTGAGATAAATAATGATCTTACCTGAATAAAATATTTCATTGTGAGTTCCAGAATGATGAATTTCAAATTCTGTTGTGTCAGCTATATTTATTATCTGTTAAATGGTGTAATTTTAAAAAGAAAGAGGAGGAGGCTAGAGGAATCTTTTAAATTCTTAAAAGATACACACAATTTGTATTTGTAGTTTAAAAATAACTGTAAATAAAAGTTGGGTGTTTATGATTCCAGTTTCAAATTTGACTATTTTCAAACTTTATTAGGCATTTTTTCCTATTTACATTTATTTTCTATTGTGTTCCTTTACACAGATAAAAAGAAAGTAGGTATGGAAATGTAGCTATTACCTTTCTGTAATAATTGTGAGTTCAAAAAAGACCTTAGAGGGAGTGTAAGGGTAGGGGTGGGGA